GCGGTGGGGACGAGGGGGCGTCGGGCTGCCCCTGGGGGCGCGCTCGCCGGGGTCGGGGTCGGGAGCCTGCGGGGATCGGAAGGGGCTGCTCCACTCCCCTGTCGCTCCGTGCTCCCGCTCCACGGCCTCCTTGACCCCTTCAGCCATCCCTTCATCTCATCCTTCCTTGCTTCCTCTCAGCTTTTCCTCTCCCTCTTGTCCTTCTGTCCTCCGTTCCTTCCTCATCCCTCCTCTGCCTTCCCTTCCAGGTCTCCCAACACATCCTCCCCTTGTGTCTCTCTCCAGCCCGATTCTCCTCCCTCCAGCTGGCTCCCGCTTTCTCCACTTTCATCCTGGCTCCCTCCTGCCAACTCAGTGTCTTCCCACAGCAGGAAATGAAAGGGACAAGTTGGGAAGTGGGGTAATGGGGAAGATGGGGGGGGAAGGTTCTGCAATGTATTGATTATTGACTGATTTGTTGCTAAAGAAAAGCCACCTTTAACTCAGAGGATATGTTGTGGCTCCAGTTCTTCTGCGTAAAATATGGCAACTCAGGTGGCCTGACTGTCTGCGAAGGGTTCTTATCAGTGCCGGAATAAGAGCAAATTACATAATGTTTCAGGGAAAAAAAATAGTTCTCAGGTTTCAGTAGTGTCAGGGTGGTGAATTGTGACTTTGTTTTGCCCTGCAAGTCAGCATATTGTTATTGCTGGGGGTAGGGCTGTATGCTTGTGCATGCTTCTTCCATGTCTGTGTTCCTTCACTGGTCACCCAGACCTGATCTTCTTTGGTGGATAGTTGTAGTTCTGCAATTAGTTTATCACCTGTTTATTTAAACCAGGTATAAGAAGTGACAGAAACATATGTGTGCATGTTTATATATCCCTTGAGTGAATATCTATTATTACAGTGATAAATCTGTACGTGTTGATGCTATAGCTATATACGTTGAGAATTGACAGTGCTTTATGTGCCTGCATCTTCATGCTTTCTATATTGTGCTACCACAGCCCAGATGTTTGGGCATGCATAACATCAGCGTTTGTGTTTAATATCCCTGAAATGCACAGCAACATATGAGCAGTGCAGAATTGAGGAGAGTAAATATGCATAAAATTGGAATCTCCTTTGGTTATTAGACTTTGTTAGTTATGCATACTTGGCATGTACAAGGAAGAGAAATATATTTGACAGATCTGAGAGTTATTTGTGTTTGTCTACAGAAATTTACATTCTGTGTTTGAAATCATCCTAGCTCCTGTGTATTTGTTTGGTTGTTAAAATCTCTCATGTTATTTTAAATTCAGTGCTTGTAGTTTATCTATAATTCTTGGCAGGTACAGTAGTTCAGTGGTATACAATTTTTAACCCAATTGACGTTTTGGAACAATGTCAACTGAAAAATGTTTTCTTTTTTCTTTCCTTCTTTCTTCTTTAGATTCTTTATCTTTGTTCAGGAGCCTAAGGTTGCTTGCTGATCACAAGAAGATGTTTCTGTGGCTTTTTCTGGTTCTGTCATCTCCAGTTTCTTCTACAACTGCAGATGCTGATATATCTGTGGAAATTTGCAATGTTTGCTCCTGTGTGTCAGTCGAGAATGTACTCTATGTCAACTGTGAGAAGGTTGCAGTCTACAGACCAAATCAGCTTAAACCACCATGGTCTAATTTTTACCACCTCAACTTTCAAAACAACTTGCTAATTATTCTCTATCCAAATTCCTTTCTTAATTTTACACATGCAGTGTCCCTGCAACTGGGTAATAATAAGTTACAGAACATTGAGGGAGGGGCCTTTATGGGTCTTAGTGCATTAAAACAGTTGCACTTGAACAACAATGAATTAAAGATTCTCCGAGCTGACACTTTCCTTGGCATAGAGAACTTGGAGTATCTCCAAGCTGACTACAATTTAATCAAGTTTATTGAACGGGGAGCCTTCAATAAGCTTCACAAGCTGAAAGTCCTGATCCTTAATGACAATCTGATTTCATTCCTTCCTGATAATATTTTTCGATTTGCTTCTCTAACCCATCTGGATATACGGGGGAATCGAATACAGAAGCTTCCGTACATTGGAGTTCTGGAACACATTGGGCGAATTGTTGAATTGCAGCTGGAAGACAACCCCTGGAATTGTACTTGTGATTTGTTGCCGTTGAAAGCATGGCTGGAGAACATGCCCTATAACATCTACATTGGTGAAGCTATCTGTGAAACACCCAGTGACTTGTATGGAAGGCTGCTGAAAGAAACCAATAAGCAAGAGCTGTGCTCCATGGGGACAGGGAGTGATTTTGATGTGCGCATTTTGCCTCCCTCGCAGCTGGAGCCTGGTTTCAGCACACCGAATGGCCACACCACTCAAACATCCGTGCACAGATTAGTCACAAAGCCACCAAAGACTACAAATCCTTCGAAGATCTCGGGGATAGTAGCAGGCAAAGCACTATCAAATCGCAATCTCAGTCAAATTGTATCATACCAGACCAGGGTGCCTCCTTTAACTCCTTGTCCACTCCCTTGTGTTTGCAAAACACATCCTTCGGACTTGGGATTAAGTGTAAATTGCCAAGAAAGAAATATAGAGTCAATGGCTGAACTCGTGCCAAAACCTTTAAATGCCAAGAAACTGCATGTAAATGGCAATTATATTAAAGATGTGGATACTACAGATTTCACTGAGTTTGAGGGGCTGGATTTGCTACATTTAGGCAGCAATCGGATTTCAGCGATCAAAGGAGACGTTTTCCGCAACCTTACAAATTTACGGAGATTGTATCTCAATGGTAATCAGATAGAGCGTCTGAGCCCAGAAATGTTTGCTGGCCTTCACAACTTGCAATATCTGTATTTGGAATACAATGTTATCAAAGAAATCCTAGCAGGCACCTTTGACTTAATGCCAAATTTGCAGCTGCTCTACCTGAACAACAATCTTCTCCGAAGCTTGCCAGCATACATTTTTGCTGGTGCACCACTTGCTAGACTGAATCTGAGGAACAATCACTTCATGTATTTACCTGTAAGTGGTGTTCTTGATCAGCTAAAATCCCTTACACAAATAGATTTGGAAGGTAATCCATGGGACTGCACTTGTGATTTAGTTGCTTTAAAACTGTGGCTTGAAAAGCTAAACGAAGGTATTGTGGTGAAGGAATTGAAATGCGAAACACCTGTACAGTTTGCTAATATAGAACTTAAGTCTCTGAAAAATGAGATCCTTTGTCCTAAACTTTTAAACAAGCCATCTGCTCTGTTCACTAGTCCTATGCCCGCTGTTACTTTTACAACACCACCAGGACCAGTTCGGAGTCCTCCTGGTGGCCCAGTTCCATTGTCCATCCTAATCTTAAGCATATTAGTTGTGCTGATTTTAACAGTGTTTGTTGCTTTTTGTCTTCTTGTTTTTGTGCTTCGGCGCAACAAAAAACCAACTGTAAAGCATGAAGGGATTGGAAATCAAGAGTGCAGTTCTATGCAACTGCAGCTAAGAAAGCACGATCACAAGTCAAACAAAAAAGATGGACTAGGTGCAGAGGCCTTCATTCCTCAAACCATTGAGCAGATGAGCAAAAGTCATACCTGTGGCTTAAAAGAGTCTGAAACAGGCTTCACGTTTGCTGACCCACCAGGGCAAAAGGTCATTCTGAGAAATATGAATGACAAGGAAAAAGATTTGTTGCATGTGGATACCAGGAAAAGACTTAGCACAATCGATGAACTGGATGAGTTATTCCCTGGGAGGGATTCCAATGTATTTATTCAAAATTTTCTTGAAAGTAAAAAAGAATACAACAGCATAGGGGTCAGTGGCTTTGAAATACGTTATCCAGAGAAACTGCAAGACAAAAAAAACAAGAAATCTCTAATAGGTGGTAATCATAGTAAAATTGTAGTAGAACAAAGAAAAAGTGAATATTTTGAACTAAAAGCTAAACTTCAAGGTTCACCTGACTACCTACAAGTCCTTGAAGAACAAACAGCTTTGAATAAAATATAGGTCATACAATCTTATTGCCTACAGAGGACATTTATTTAATGATGAAAGTGCCTTTTGTTGACTTTTAACTTCCAAATACTATATTATATTGATAGGCATAGAGGCAGGTGTATCCAAGGGTGTCTGATTAACTGTAGCTGCGTATGATTTGTCCAGTAGAGGAGAATTTCCTTCATAGATTTTACTACATAAAGCTCATGCCCTGTGGAATCCTGTAGGGATACTGCAAACTCTATTGCCAAAGGGATGCTTTATACACGTTACACTGAATTTAACCTCAAGAGGCATATATGTTTTGTATCCTAAATGCAAACCATCGTCTCCTTGTGATTTGTTAGAACAAACACAAGAAACCTGGTACTGATATTTGTACCTCAGCTGGGTCCTTCATCCTGCACGTGGATTTAAGTTGGTGGAACTGGAGTAATCCTTTGATTTGTGGTGTTGTAATGACACTGTTTGAAGATTATCTGGAAAGTTACAAGCATGCAAAGAGAGAACATTCAATAGTATGTGTAAATTGGTTACATTTATGGTCTGCATCTTGAAACCACTGGAATTATAATGTTAAATTGTGCAAATATTTGTTTAAAATATACCATGCATTACATACCTATGAAATAAATTTGACCACTTGAAGCATACATATCTATACAGAAAATTAAAAAAAAAAGAAAGAAAAGAGTTCAACCTGACTTCTGCAGTGTTTGTGACATCTGAAGAAAATATCTGATGTTTATGCAGAATCTGTTCTAAGACTCATCTCCAATTAAAACTAGAGTTCCTTCTCAGTTACGTGAAACTCTTGCAACCCCAACAGGTTGTCCAAAATTGTCAAAGTGCTTACTGTGTGAGCGTAGCAGAAATTATTTTTGTAATATAATTCATATTTATGAAATACTTTGTATACTAAATAGGAAAAAATATGTACTCCTTAATATGTATTTAATATGCCTGACTTGTTTTCCTGATCACAATGCATTAATCATTCAGTATAAATAAAATCAGGACAATATACCAAACAGCAACCGGGGATGTATAGTATTATCCAGAATTAAGTGATCAGATATAATAAGAATAATAAAATTGTTCTGTACATTCTTGTGAGATTAGCATATTATCTTATTTCAGATTTGTTACCAATGGTGCATTTTAAAATAGATTCATTAGGTTTTTTTAGTATTGTGTCTCAGGCAATTATTTGCCATCAGTTTTCTTGCTTTTCAGGGCTCTACAGCTTAAACTAAATAGTTTTCACTACAAGTATTTACAGGAATTCATGCTAAGGGTAATCCTTTAATTGTATATGCAGAAGTTTTCTGTTCTTGTTATCTCTCTGGCTGCTGTTAGTCAGTAAAACCTGATCAGAACAGTGAAAAATATGGCAAATCATGTCTCTTTAAAACCACAGTGAAAAATGAATATAGTGGTCTCAGTTCAGGGTATTGTGTAGCTCATACCTGGAGAATAAAAACTTACCTTTGTGAAAACTGAATCTGAATAGCTAGAAAAAAAAAGTAGGAGAATGTAAAATCCCCACTGAATCTCACTGATAGATGGCACCTTGAGATGAGAATGGAGATATACTGGTAAAGCATCCTACAACAACTCTACGCAATGAGGTTAACAAAAATTCTTTGACTTGATGAGCTTCGGATAAGACCCTCTATCTCCTTTGTTTACCCCTCCCTGCCTTTTATAATCAATACCTAGGTCAATTAAGATTAGTAGGATATAAACATGAATGTTTTTCATGAATTTGAAACTAGCGAAAATCAGAGCAAGACCCAATAATAATACTGTGGAGAAGGCTGTGTCAGCTATTTCCAATATAAATCTCTAATTTCAGGGCTTTATGACACTGCTTTGAAATTTTTATACTGGAATGAAGCTTTGGCAATCAGCCTGCAGTATATTTTTAACAAAATTTACCAAAAAAACAGGAAAGCACTGCTGCTTTATTTAAGAGAAAGCAAACAAAACATTTCCCTACTTTTCTCTACTTTTAGGCATTTGTTTATGCTCTTGTGGCCTAGAAAGAGGGTTGTTCTATTATTTTTCTCCATGCTACAAAGTATATACATGACTTCAGATAATAAAATTATAACAGATAAATTAACGGATGAGTTTCTTTCAATAGCTGTGGCTATCCATGCACAATAATTAACTTAATTCAGAATGTCATAGGGATTTTCAGGACGTGGAATCTATGTACATATGCATTTCTAACATAAAAAGTTCCTGGTTGACCAATGATGCAATACATGTCCAAGGCTTGAATAAGAACATATGAGCTTACTGTGTCAAGAGTTGTGGATTAAGGAGTGTTAATGATGCACTGACATGAGTGGCTGTAACGGCTTCATCAGTAGGCTGAGGATAGTGGGTCACTGACCCTGCTCTGCACAGTGCTGTGTGGCTTTGAGAATGTATCCAGGTTCACTGAGATTTGCCAAAGCAGAAGTCTTCTGACACACTACAGTGTGTTGTCAGACTGTCATGTCCCATGCCCTTCTCTAGAGAGGCAAACACTAAAAATACTTAAAATAGGAAATGAGCTAATACTGTTAAGTGATGATAGAACTGATGTGCTTATGACTCGTATTGCCCTGAGTTACAAGAGCATTGATAAATGATACCTTCCTCAGCTGAAAAATTGAGAGGGGTTTCTTTTGCTTTGTGTTGTAGGGTTTAGGGTTTTTTGTTTGGTTGGTTTTTGTTTTGTTTGTTCGGGGTTTTTTTTGTGGTAGTGTCCTCTGTTTGCTGATCAAAAGGAGAACTGAACCGTTATGCTGTACCATTATACTGGGTCAGAGTCTCCTGATCATTGAGGTCCCAGTCCAGTAAAGCATTTAAGCTCAACCTAAATCATGTGCAGAGGTACTACTCATGAGCTACTAATTAAACAGCTGTCCAAGAGTGGGGCTTAGATAGAGTATTGTCATTGACTTAGAAACAAGCCAGCTCAGAAACATTGTATATAATACATAGAGCCCAGTGACTTGGGGTTATGCAGTTGTGTGTAGGTTCACCAGCATCAGTAAAGGTTGCACAATCTGGACCTTCCTGTAGAAATTGTTCCTAAGTGTTTTACAATATATGGTGCAATATGTAGGCATAATAGTGTGAGTGAAGAATGCAGAAGCTGGCAAAACACTATATTTCTGTGAAATTGTTACTTTGAATGACAACCTTAACGTCAGTTTATTTTCTCCATGTTTTGAAACAGTGTATGTGTCTGCACAGCAGTTTTAGTGTAATGTCCATTCAAATCTCTAGTCAGTCTTTCTGAGAAGGTGACTCTCGGATGTGGCTTAACAGGTCTGTCTGTCCTTTATACTGGTTTGAGTGGCCATGCTTGTAAAATGGCTGTTAAGACCCATAGACATCAACTAAGTCAGTGAAGGTGTTAATCATAATCTGTTGTCTCCATTTGTATTATAAAGAAGTTTCCATTTTCAAATAAAATCAATAAAGTGTAATTGTTTCCTTGAAAAAGAAAAAAAAAATTGTGCAATTTTATCAGAAAGCAACTACCACGGTGCAAGAACACAAGACCAGGTGATTTATGTTTTGCATTTAATGTTCAAGATTGAAAATAATGCAGCAATCTACTATAACAATCCTTTTTAAATGCTTTTTTTTAAAAGCCATAATGACGATATAAAGGCATGGCCTTGTGAATAATGTTAACAAATGTTTCAGAATCAAGAAAAAAACATCCAGAACTTGATGGTGGTATAATATCTATAATATCTTTTGCATGATTTGTATGTTGATATTGTATGAAATGAGCACAGTGAGACTTTTTTTTGGTTGCATCCAAAGAGTTAGGAAGGAAATATAACAAGAATGTATTTATAATCACTCTATTTTGAAATAAAGTAAAGAAAACAAAATGTATTGGCTTTACCCTGTTTTGATCATTACTATTCTAGGTTAGTTTATAATTGAGGCAGTTACCTGTGACATCCAGTCCAATGTAAAATACAGAAAGCTATTGTTTATTAATTTTGTTTGCCTTCATCAACATCAAAATATTAGCCATCATTGACTTCAAAATTTGTATGAAATATTAATAAAATTGTTTGGTACTATTGTATTTCTGAAACTAGACTCTGTTAAGTGCCTGTAATATTCTCTTTTAGGTCATTTGTATATGGATGTAAAGCAGTTAAACAGTAATGCTTTCTAATCACCTCGACAATTTGTTATATTTTATGAAAGTTTTTTCCACCTTCTGTTGTCCAACAAAATATTCCTTTCCCCTGTTATGCAAATAATCTCTCCAAAGTCAGTTAATTTATTTTTACATTAGTAACACAAGCAAAATTAAGTTTTTAGTTGGATCCTGACTTCTTCAGCACAGGAGTGCTTAGAGGAACAATTACATAATGCTAGGGGCATTTGTTTTGATTCTGCTCCCTTATTAATCATTTTCAATATGACAATTTTTCAGAGGAAAGATAAGTTAGTTTGTCCTTAGCAGAAGAAAAATACCAATCCATCTACCATTTCATTTAGTTAGGTTAGTTTTGTAACTGAAAGTTGCAAAGACATCTTTAGGTAGTTTAACTTCCAAATTTATATTTTGTAGTAGAAGTCTCATAAAAATCTTCATGGCAGAAACAGAATTATGTCTAGGTTAAACATTCCCTGTTGTATAGGATTTAAAATGCATTATAATGATGGTGAATGAGAATCAGAATGTGATATGGACTAGAACATCAGGACTTGATATGGATTTTTTTTTCACTTCCGATTGAAGTGTAACAGTAGGAGCAAACCCATAGTATTACCTGAAAAAAGGCCTACTTATATATATTCTATGTAATTTCTTTGTAAAGAAAAACCTGAGAACCAAGAATTAGGTATTCATGTTCTGATAATGCGTGCCCTGCTTTCCTGAATGTAGAGGAATTTGAAAGCTTTCTGTTAACATATTTTGTCACTATTTAGTCTTTATTTCTAATTTCAATTCACCTATGTATTCTGGTTGATGCTGTGTTGGAAAATAAAAATAGGAATGTTAATGCTCAGGGACAAACTCTTCTCAGAAATTTACCAATGTAAATCCAAAGTGACTGAACAGACTTCAATGGAATCAAATCAGCCTACTCTAGTGAACAAAAAATCCAGAAAATATTAGATGAGAAGCTATCTATCCATCATTGAAATAAAAATAAGTAATTTTTTACTTGTAATCTTGCTTTATGCTCTACTGTTTTGTGTGGTGAAGCTATTCCTATTTTCAAATCACTATAGAGAGTACAGAGTAGGTGCAGTCCTGTGTCTGTTTGATGTCAGTGGAACTCTGCAAAGATTCAAGAACTGTAGGCATCCTGGCGATGCACTGTGGATGCAAAACTACTTAAATTTGCTGGTTTAATACACAGACTTGGGATATATATCCCATAAAACATAAATGCTTTCTTAACAATAAAATTTATTTTCTCCCTATAATGGAACAAAGTTACCCTGCTCTTTGTTCTCATTAAATAGGGAGTTTATTGCAAATATATTTGTTTTACTGTTAAATTTATTTGTGTTTGCTAGTAATACTTGAGATAATTAATTTATTGTCTGAAAAATACATTTTGAGCAGTCTGTTATTTTTAAAATACCACTCATTTGTAACAGACTGATACTGAACTATGTTGATTTTTAATTCCCTTCTTGAGAATCCTTGTGGCCATTTAACACTAAATAATTCCTTAAAAGCACAAATAAAAGATAAGAAAAAAAAGACCTAGCTGTTACTAAATCTGAATTTTTTTGTGTGTATGTGAAGGCTTAACATCCTGTAAAACAACTCTGATGGGTAACAAGTGTTTTATCATTGTCTCTTTGGTCTTTGTTTAAACAGAAAACAAAAGATAATCTGTATATGGTTTAGTAGTAACTTTGTAAACATACAGTAACAAGTGTTCCTCATTTTCCCTCAGCAACATTTCATTTCTTGGTTTAATTTCATGCAATTTC